CATACCCATGTTTTAGAACGGCGGTGTATCCTAATGGAACTGATTATGGCACTGTCAGTGTATGTATGTATGTCGTGTCCTTGATCTTTGTATTTTGCAAACGTTGACAAATATTACTAAATATACACTGAATGGGCATCGAGTTCAATTAGGAATCTGTTCATCAGATAAGCGGACGCTTTTGGTTAGGAACCTATTTGGATCTCTGCTGATGAACCTGTATCGATACGCTTTGCAAGCAATTTTCAGTAGGTTCACGCCTTCTAAATGAATCAAGCCAGTCAGGTGACCGTACTTGTAAAATCCTGCAACAGGGAAACAGTCCTGGACGACATGTAAATAGTCGCAAACATGAACATCGTGACTGGTGTCACCGTCTTTCATGGGACTTCGTTATGTTCATGTTGTTACACGCGGTCACGATGACACGGAAGAACAAAGGGCAATCCAAATGGTCGATGCTCAAATAATGGCCAATGGAAAAAATTGTGTTTACCCTTAAACTTTTGGTGCCATTACCGATTATCAGTGTTCTGTTTACATAATTTTGTCGAATGGAATCTTTATCGTCGGAAAATCGAGACTGTGTTATCTTGGACGTTGGCGTAGTATATTTATATACGTGATATTCACAGAAAGTGTTTGATATAAATGGAATTTTCGCCATATTGTTGACCAAATCAAAAGATTGCCCTCAACGTTTGCAATTTAAGAAAGAAGCCACGATCATTTCGGTCACATTTGATTTAAATTTCTTTTTTTCTGGCACTACATAATTTCAGGGAAAAACCTACATCCATAATTTGTTACCATCAATAGTGACCATAGATACAGTTAGACCTCTGTCTCCGAATATTCAGAACAAGTCTGAAGTTCACCGAAAAAACAATTTGTGAAATGCAACAGGCAGTACCATGTTTGATGTGATTTGGCATGACACGACCAGAGGATCGAACTACCGACCTTCCGCTCTCCGAGCAGACACACTATCTACTAGACCTTAGCAAAGGTCGTAACTTTAAGCATTTGACGAGATTATCGGAACACGTCCATAAATGACCACGACAGATAATGTATTTTAGTTCTAGATATACATGCATTTAAGCTTGTCAGAGATATATTCTTATCTCGCGTTTATGCATATACCAAATGTTATAAAACTATAAACTATAATTAGGGCTGTGTATTGGCTCAAATTTGGTATTGCGATACTTTGCGATACACTCTTCTGTATCGCGATACGTATTGCAATATATTGCGATACACTGTTTTGTATTGTGATACGTATTGCGATTTATTGCGATACACTGTTCTGTATCGCGATACGTATTGCAATATATTGTGAAAGAACAGTTTTTGAGATCCGTCCACTTTGACATTCTTTTACCTTATATTGAATCACAGTATATGTGAGTAACCATTGTGCATTGCATAGATTCTTTCATAGTGCAAGAAAAGGAAAATCCAGAACATTTTTCTGTGTATATTTCTATTTTAAAACAGCAGGGATCGACTCTAACTAAAAATGTAACTGGCCCTCCGGGCTAGTGGATTTTGTATGTTGCTAGTCCTTTCCAAAACTTACTAGCCCTACGCTTTACGAATGAAAAAAACTTTCAACAAGTCTTTCTTTTAATTGTAACTGCTGTCCAAAGGAAAGTTAACGCAGATAAATGTATGATTTCTCATTTCATACATATGACAAATTCAACTGAAACTAGCTTACACCATGTCCTCCATCGACCCACCCATTTATATACTTTAACTTCTTTAAACAGAAAAGGATGTTGAATTTCAAATAATATGAAGAGTTTTACTGTACACATCTGTATTACTCAATAAAAAATTAATTGATGTCACAATCATGTGACATGATCTTGAAGTGCACATTCTAATCAAAACGATGATTTCTGCACCTTTGTCTTTGAATAAAGGTATTATTAACATACCTATTTCATGAATGACGTTTGGTACACATTCACATGAAGAAATGATTTAACAAAACACTAACGATGGGCAAAAGTCACTCTGTATCAGGTAAAGTACACTTTCTTTAGACTAAATAGAATAATGAAAAAAATGAAACATGAGAAATATAACCTTATAATAAGATAGAAGCCAGCGTTTATCAAGGAAAATATCAGCTCGTGAAACATTATTGCCATGTCATACACCATTTAAATTCTTTAGGTCTAATCCAACTGTTGATAAATACCAAAGGTATGTTTGTCATATTATTCAAATAATACAACTTCAACTTAAATAAATATATTTGTAATAGTAATACAAATTTACACACTTAAAATGTCCATATAAACCACGAAGGAGACGTAGACTCCCGCTATTTTAATCCATTTGTAAGATGCCATAATATCCTCTTACCTACTAGTATTTCTTTTATATTTGATTTTTACGTAATCAGAAAATTATTATATAAATATTAATTAAATAAGATGTATGGTTGCCTATTTCCCGATAACCTTGGCTTTTCACCCGGTAACGGGACACAATATTGGGAAATGCCTCCGTTTTCGAAGCTCCGTATGAACAACACTCTAGAAGATTCATTTATGGCGGGTATTGTTCCAAAGCTCTTATCATCAATAATATCATAGTAACCTTGCCAGCAGTCTTTTCGCAGATGTAAGAAGCGATTTTATTGGATAAAGATTGGTTCCTAATGACGATTTTTCGCCAGTCTGCTATAAGGTTCGTCATTGGTAAAAATCATGCTCGTAAGCCAATCATATTACAGCAATGGATACCGTCTTCATAAACGAAAACGTTTAGACAAAAGTTGTGGGTACAATAATGCTATTTTGAACGCGTTAAGCAACAAATCGCCATATATACGTAAATTATGGAACTTACTGGACGTATCGTCTTAGATGGCGACCAATGACAAAAATTCTTTATGCAAATGATTTCTCATTTAACATCGTGTCCGAGCATGAATATTGAGGTTACTTGACTTGCATAACATGATCGCACGAAAAGAGTGAATGGGTATGGTTTTACGCCACTTTTAGCAATATTCCAGCAATATCACGGCGAGGTACACCAGAAATGGGCTTCATACATTGTGGCCATGTGGGGAATCGAACCCGGGTCTTCGGCGTAACGAGACGACGCTTTAACCACTAGGCTACCCAACCGCCCCCGCACGAAAAGATGGAAATAGTAACTTAGATGTACGTTTAACAACTTTTATGAAAACTGTAGATTTTATTCATTAGTTTATTCAATTTTAATGATTCCCTCGAAACGTCCATACTTTGCACTTTGACAATTTTTAAGTGGACCCGTTGCCAATCATTTGGAAAGACTTCCGCCCAATCCCCACCCACGACCACCACCCATATAACCTGAATATGCATATATATCTTTTTCCTCACCATTACAATTTAGGGGGTATACGGGCGGAAGTCTTATGTGCGGTGTTGAATGGGTTAAAATTAAAAAAACGAAATCTTTGGCGGTATACCGGTACGTCATTAACGTATCGCGATACGCATTTGTTACAATTTCGTATTGCGGTTTACCGGTATACCGGTAATACCGTGCAGCCCTATATAAAATAAACTATATATATACATATAACACGAAACAGCAAACTGAATGCACTTAAAGGACACGTGTGGTTGCTTTCGTATTTCTGGTCATCAAATCACAATAACGCCCTTTTGAAGTCGATATCTAGTGAGGGGGTTGCGTCATGCGTCATATGTTGCAACGATCCGGTCTACCACGTGTGGCTTCACGCAAATTTTACCATTTCTACCGAAGCTTATGCACATCAGCTCGACCATAAAGTCTCAATACGGACCAGGTCGTGTCACCCACACGTGTAACCCCGCACAACTGAAGTAATGCAAATCTACATTGAAAATGCGTTGGGAGGACCGTGAAAAGCCAGATAATAAGAGGGTATAATTACATTACCTTGACCCAGAAACAATATTGTCCAACGGACAGACATCGCTTAGTACATTTCATGTTTCGCAACGTGGACTCTGATTGCGAAATATGCACTGAATCGTCATGAACTTTAAAACATAATCTCATGGAGAACAGATAAGCTTGATATGGTCCGTTTGCTCGAACAAATATTGTCATGTGTTTGCAATGAGGAACCGTTATATGTTGGCTGCACTGTTAAACCCGAGATGACATGCATCTCAAGTTTACACACGCTCACAGATTTCAAATATGTTTCACTTTCCACACGATTGTGTGGCCTAACGTGTCACTGAAACGCTATCTATTAACGTTGATTGGATAGAACGCTGTTCCTGATTTCATCAGGTAAGGGGGGAAAATTCGCAGAAACGTATCCAGTGCCTATAAAACTGGCGGCCCGTTGATCACCACCATTCCATCCAACGTCTGACGTCCAACATGCTGCTACTTCTCGTCACTCTGTCTTGCCTGGCGGCCGTCAAGGCTCAAGCTACACCTTGCTGTATTGGAATCGCTTGGTCAGCCAAAGTGTTTGATGTTCGCGCACCCTTCCAAGGAAATAACGTAAGTACCAAACGATTACGTTTATCATAGCCACTAGTGTGTGACATTAAATTTTATTTGTGTGGACATAAGAGATACGCTTAACTTCAACTTCAACAGTACAGTGTACTCGAGAACCCCAAAATGACAGAATGACAGAAGAAGTTCGTTTGTTGTTTAATGCTGCATTCAGTAATATTAAAGCGTTATCGATTTGCCGGCGGTCTGCCGGCGGTCTGTAGTAGTAGTAGTAGTAGTAGTAGTAGTAGTAGTAGTAGTAGTAATAGTAGCAGTAGTAGTCGATGTTGTTTTTTTCCCTCATAACATGTCAAAAGTAGTTATATTTCAATACCTAGGTAGTATTTTCAAATCCAGAACAAAACGAAAGTAGTTACATCTGGAATGTATCTGCTCTAAATGTTCACGTTGAAAATCTCCCTCCCCCACATTGTTTAACAATGTCTGTAAAATCATTCATCTTGCGTTATACATTTTAGGTAAATGCTGACTTCTACTACGACTGGAACAACGGAGCTACGTCCATTCAGTACACTGTGTATGGATTAATTACGAAGTCAACCAGAATTGTCACGTCGTATCAAAAGGTAGCACCAGTCATCTGTACATTGAAAATAGTCACCAAAGCCATAGTGAGATGTTGTTCGTCATCCTGCATAGAATTCATTGAGGAATGGTTCAACCGTTAACTGATGCTCGTTGTTTTGTGGACAGAGAGTTTGTCCAGCGGTTGGAAGTCGGGTTTCGATTCATACAGTAAATTCCTGCAAAAAGACGTTTAGATATGGTACTTGCTGTTATCCTGAAGGCAGGCAGCATTAGGGTATACAAAAGAAGTGTCGACAATTTGCAATACATCAGTGATCTCACCTTACCTCACATTTTTGTGAACAGACTATTTGGGTATGGTTCATCAGGGCACCTTAATTAAAGGTCACATGCAACCAAAAAAATCAAACATAATTAAAACACAATTATCACTTCTTCATGACATATAATATGCATTGCTGATTATGAAAAAAACAAATAAACAAAATTATAAGCGTATAATCGCAAATCAAAAGTGCAATATTTTGTACTTGGGGTTACCTCCCTCGAAACGAAGCAGCCGGGATACCGAACCCAGTCAGAGCGGGTGGGTGTGCACTCAAGTGTAACGGCTGGTTCATTAGCAGGTGCCTCCTGCACGGCTCATTGTGTGTGTATACATAGAGATGTTGGGTTTTGTAAATACATGCTCATTTTTTTGTGTATAACATTTAGCAATCAACAGACATCATAACATGTCATGTGTTCAAGTATCACACCTGCCTGTCTGTGTAATTACATAATGTGACAGAGACCGAACTTGGGCCATAAATCAATGCGTTTTGTTTATGGTGTATAGCCTGATTGGTGTTAAGTTCAAATTGCATGTGGTCAGTGATCGCAGTTGTGTATTGAATATTGTCATTAGCAGACAGGCAGGCAGACACACAGGTGTCAATAAAACAAGACATTGAGTTTTGTCTGTGACAGCGACATATCTATATCACAGTTAGAAATTCTGTCAACGCTAAATAATGACATTGCTTTTAAGTATCGAACTGAGAAAGTGACTCGGTAAGAAGAACGTGTGGTGAAATAGACAAATGAAATTATATAAACAGTTTATTTACTGTCATAACATATAAAAAGCTCGCGCCTGTGAGATATCAACAAAACATTATGAAAATAGCTCACACCAAAGCCTTCACCGAGTATTCACCAGACAGCCCGCTTCCAAGTTGCGCGAACCTATTTCACTGCGCACGTGCTATGAAGTCGTGGGAAAATTAGTGAAACGTTTGAACTCCGATTTCGCGCGTTTTTTTTCATCGCGTTATTTTTCAACTTTATAAGTTGAATCTGCATGTTTGATGATTTGTATCTGTAAGTCCATACCGAAAGGTATCAGAATCTGCAAAGTTGTGTTTTACGTTGCATGTGACCTTTAAAGGGCAAGTGTTCATGAAAATTTACCTTTTTGTCTTGCACTTTTCATCATAAAAAGTGTTTATCAAGTAGTTTTATATCCAAACCAGTACATATATCAGAAGAAACTAATTTATTTTTTGCTTTATCTCAATTCATATTTTCAACATTTACCGAGAGTTTTATGTCCAAACACACCATGGCTTATGTCCCTTGGTAATGACGTCATTGGTGCCCGACTGATAAACGAATGACATCGTTCTAGACTTATTAGACCCATTTCACGGGGTGCAGGTATATGAGTGGTTCATGTGTCTCGATGCACAGGCTACTGTTTTAATCCACCTGTTGCCTGGCCGTCATTTGGCAATGCGGTCAGCTCTACACTGTAATGACGTTGCAGTTTGAAAACAATCTTGGGTATACATTGTACTAAAAGTGTTACCACGTAACCAAATTGTATAACATTCAACCTGAGTCGGTCGCCTTTCCAACAGTATCTTTATTCACAAAAACTAAAACGTATATGCACCACATATACCTTGCCATCGGTGAATGTGCCGGCATTCTACGTTTGTTACTAAAATTCCTTCATAAATCTTACGATATGTCCCTCCTCTTCCACCTTCACTTTGATATCGATACCATTCCAAATACATCACGAAGATAAATGCAATTTGCAGTTTTAAACTCTGTTTGAAATTCGTTTTCTATGATATCATCCGCTCATTGTTGATCAAATATACTGAAAATTACATGCATCGTAACTCTCGCCAGTTTTGACACATTACTAAATCACCATTGAATTTATAGTATGCCTTAATTCAAATGTCAAATTTTACTGGGAGATTTGAATTTAGAAGAAAAAGACGTATAATTGTGATCAGCGGTAGTTTTGTTGTTGTATGATCGAATCACCAATGCTCGTTCTGAAACATTGTCGATGAACCGAGAATTCGCTGAGAATGTTAAGGAAAATACGCAAACACAATTAACGTCAAAGTGAATTTTCAACCATAGTACAGAACGTTTATAAAATCACGTCACATGTATGTCGGTTATGTTTCACCCATAAAATCAATTGTGTAATTCAACACCACCTTCCTTACACGAATCCCTGAATTCATCATACAAATCAAAATAAACTGACAAATGGATTTTGTCACCAATTCGAAGTGTTTCAATGAAATCAAACGTAATTTAACAGATGCCGCGCTGGGAAAGGACCACTTGTTGAAATGTAAACAAAGCCAATCTCAGATTTTATATAGTGTATCAATTCGCCTACTTGTTGCATACACTTGCTCATTAGTTTTAGAGCATGCATGGGAAAGGTATCGTAGCAAGCCATAGTTATGTAAAATAGGTGTATTCCCATGATTTTCTAGATTCATCACAACATATTACAGTTTCTGAAAGCATGACTGACACAAACTAACGCACAACGATGACGGTACTTCTCTTAATTTCTTTCTGTTTCCCTTGGTCACAATGAAAACAAAAAGAAAATAACAACCAGCAGACTCACAGAATTGTCGGACTACTTACATGTCACATTTATGCATATACTTTTCTTGAAACAACGAAAATTTCCTTCAAAAAGTCCGGCGTACTCGTGTCAGTGCGTCCCGATAGTGATGTCATACGGACGTCAACATTGTTATACATATTTGGTATTTTCATTGAGGTGAGGTTATGAATGAAAATACACACGATCAATCTGTCCTGCTGCTTACGTTTTCTATATTCTTATGCTTCTTTCGTATTTTCACAAACCTTTTTCACGTGATTAATTTCAGCATTATTATCTTTTGATTTGGGACTAGACAGGGGGCCAATTTAAAATCAAGTGGCACCAATTACGTCATAATCAAAGGGCGGTAACTCTGGCCTGTTTAGCTCGGCAAACAAAGGCCTCATATTGGCATAACATTTCAGCACTTACTTTGAGGGTTATACTTACATTGTAAGAAAAATGAGTGTATATTTTTAAACATTAGTATTAACTAATTAAAACAGTTCACTTTGATTCACATGAGAATAAATGTGATTTATTCGTGTACACTTCCCCTTTAAAGTTGGGTTGTCCCTGGTAAATTCTGCTCATTTGGGAATGGTTGTACGTTTTATAGACATGTAATTGTGCGGCTCTACGTGTTACATACAGGTAATTGAGGTATAGGTCTACGTGTTATATAAGGTATTTGAGATACGGTTCTACGTGTTATATACACTCAGGTAATTGAGATACGGTTCTGCGTGTTACATACAGGTAATTGAGATATGGTTCTACGTGTTACACCGCCTTCGTGGTGTAATGGTTAGAGCGTCCGCCCGGAGAGCGGAAGGACGCGGGTTCGATTCCCGACCGCGCCATACCAAAAATATGATACTTGTTGGTCCCAGCCTATCGCTCGGCATTAATGGGTAAAACAAGGACACGCATGCATTCGTCATATGAGCGAAATATTCTTAAGTGTTACGGTAAACCCCATTTCACCTCACTTAACCTTCTAGGTGCTACATGCGTGCTGCGTGTTATGCATACCGCAGGAATGTTTAAAATATATTTTGATTTGCAGAATGAACGCTACACCATCTTGGCCGATGGAACATGTACCAAGGACGCCCCAACTGGCGTGCTTCTGCCAAACTGCATCCCGAGTACGTGTGTCAGGGTGAAAAGTGATCTTTCTTCATGAAATTTATAGAAATGATTCTTGTGGTCACATTGTGATAAACACAGGACCAAAATTCGGATTTCACACCATCGAAATAATGCATACACCGAAATACATGTTAGGACCGGAATTGCATGTGTTTTAAGCTATTTAGGGCATACAATTCATGCAAAGCTATACCTTTGAAACATATGCTCATCGTATATTTATTTGATGGGTATTTTATAAGTTGGGAAGTACAATATTGGCAAACGCCATTAATAACAACTTCATCGGGTGCCAGTCAAATCGCCCCAGCTACAAAATGCGCCGGAGTTTTAGTCAAATTGCCCCAGGTTTGGTCAAATTCCCCGAAGGGTGTAGTCAAAATGCCCCAATATATTTAAAATGATTAGATATATACCATAAATGCATATTTTATGTCAACTTCGATATAATATTCTTCATACAATATGTAATATTTCTGATAAATGTTTCATAAATAAATTCGTTCAAAACACGATTACAGACCAAACAAGGAAATATTCTCTTTGATAAAAACTTTGGATCTAGATTTTGTCAAATAATCCATGCTCGTCTCAGGTTGGGTTGTAGTGACTTGAACGCTCATTGTTTTGATAGACATATTTCAAATAATCCGAATTGTGCATGTGGGTATCTATTTCGCGAGTATTACGTTTCGATACAGATTCTTATCACCTGAAGGGTCTGGCAAAACAGGCAGTATTACTATCTTGCATTCGCTTTTGCTACCAGTATCAGTGGTGACATCGCAAGTGTCATGATAGAGTAGCAATGTATCTGTAATACAATAATTGTAACATGTCAATGGTCTCCTTCCGAGTAGACGACAGTACAGACCTTGGCTCAAGCTATATCGGCATTGAGGGAAGCGGGTTGAAATCCGACAACTGGTTGATGACTATCAAATCTGTCAACCTAACCATGGGCGTCACCGACCCAGGCTGTGTCTTAACCTACTTGGGTATCTTCAACCAGGCAGCAAGTCGTAAGTAGATACTTTACACAGATCGACTTGGGTGCAGCAGTCCAGGAGGTAATGTTCCGATTTCCATCTCGAAGGAATGAAACATTCTCTTTTTGCTGCTTTCGGGAGGGAAACACAATATGCGTTTTCAAGAAAGGGTGAGGTTACCAGCAGACTTACAATAGATTGCAATAAATATTATCCACCACGGTAATGCAAACACCAAACCATAAATGTAACAAAAGATTATTAGAAACCTCCGATTAACCAATCAAATCGAGTAATTTTATAATCTATATTACGATGTAGAATGGGGTTGTTTTGCATCAAATCATTCTCTACACAAGATGGAGGTAATGCCACTGTGGTGATGTAACCACCAAACCATGAGGTTCGATTTGTGCCAGTTTTAAGTTTTAGAAACCTCGGAATGACCAATCAAAATCGAAGTTCCTGTTTTTCTGCTTTAAATCATGTTCCACTGAACATGGATTGTAGTTACAATGAAACATTATGTTTTTCATCAGCTGCAGATACAGAACTATACTTCAACGGATATAAAACAGGCATCACGGATCCAACTGCTTTCGACGTCCCCCTCTCCTGTTAATGTGGGCAGACACACTTCATCTTGTAGACCCGATTGTTGTCTGTTGGACTTTACAAAATATACAAATATCTTTATATCAATAAAAACTACTTATAAGTATGGCAAGTTCTGTTTTCAATTACAAGCACAACATCACTAAAATCTGTACCCTTTCTGGCAATGGCATCGTAAGTTCAGTGTAGTCTATGTATGTATGTATGTATGTATGTATGTATGTATGTATGTATGTATGTATGTATGTATGTATGTATGTATGTGTGTATGTATGTATGTATGTATGTATGTATGTATGTATGTATGTATGTATGAGTGTGAAGTGTTCACTTGTCTTACCAGGCGAAGAAATGGTTGGAGGTTTTAAGTGTCATCATACGACAGCGCGAGTAGTTTTTATAACACCAAGCACAGGTTGCTTATGAATCCAACCATTGGACGAAACTGGTCATGTCGTGTCATGACGTTTTATGGCAGACATGTGGAAGACACTTGGCCCATCAGTGACAACAAAGTATGTCCAATGACATTCCCTGTTTTTCATTTGATCTATATGTTCCCGTGTTTTAAGGTGGACAATTGACATGCGTTTGCATGGGATTGTGGCGGGTGGGACAGGATACGCACATTTATTTTCGCAAAAGCTTTGTATCAATACTATTGAATAGGAATAACACATTGAGTCAACTCTCCTTGTAGCAGGCACGAATTTGGAATAGACGGCGTCCTTTTTCACACATTTTGTGTTTTTCGTGTAGCGCTGTAGTCACAACCGAGAACAGAAAAGGAAGTAAGGATTATCGCCATCACATAATATTCATCTTGTAGTGTTTCTGCAAGTATACCAGGTCATTGCAGTGGACATAATATAGCTGGAATGTTGTAATATGTGGTATTAAAACATTCTTGTTTGGTCTGGCAAAACATCTAATTATGAATGGTCAATTAAAGGTTTTACTACACAATGACCAATAAACGGTAGATGTACACATATTTATTCAGCCGGAAATGTCAGAACGATTTTAACATGAATTGGTTCAAATGGAACGGAAATGTCAGAACGATTTTAAGATGAATTGGTTCTGAATATGTACTGAGGACATTATACATCGACGCCCAAACCATGGCCAATGGAAAGATTGTGTTTCCCCTTTTATCTTTTGATGTCATTACGGATTATCAGTGATCTGTTTACATACATTTTCACAGCTATTTTGACCATTGGAATCTTTATCGTCGGATAATCGAGACTGTATGTCTTGGGCGTTTGCGTAGTATATTTACATACGTTATATTCACAGAAATTGTTTGATATGAAATGGCATTTTCACCATGTGGTTGACAAAATAAAAAGGGTTGCCCTCAACGTTTGCAATTTAAGAAAAGAGCAAAGTTTGGTTTTCTCAAATTTATATGGCACTACATAATTTTAGGGAAAACCTGAATCCATAATTTGCTACTAACCGTGGTGACCATAGATACTGTTAGATCTTTGTCTCCAAATATTTCAAAACAAGTCTGAAGTTCACCGAAAAAACAATTTGTGGAATGCAACAGGCAGTACCCTATTTGATGAGATTTGGCATGACACGACCAGAGGATCGAACTACCGACCTTCCGCTCTCCGAGCAGACACACTATCTACTAGACCTTAGCAAAGGTCGTAACTTTAAGCATTCGACAAGATTATCGGAACACGTCCATAAATGAGCACAACAGATAATGTATTTTAGTTCTAGATATGCATGCATTTAATCTTGTCATAGATATATTCTTATCTTGTGTTTATGCACATACCCAGTCCTATCGAGGCTGCAGAACACAATGTGGTATCAAACTCAGATATGGCAAAAGTATTAGATAAGATCTTCTAACAATATAATTAGAAATGTACTAATTAATATCTAGACAGTCTAGAGAAGCATAATTTCAGTAGGAAAATTCAGGCCAAGCTATAATTAACTGTGCATTACTAAATCAAGAAAATGTTTGTCGGGAAAATGCCGCAGTAAAATAAACTATAAACATACATATAAGACGAAACAGCAAACTGAACGTACTTAAAGAACACATGTGGATGCTTTCGTGTTTCTGGGAGCATGCTACTCAGAGACATAGGTTCTGAATGTGACAGCACGCAATGCATGGTTGTTAAGTTAACAGGTGGTTAGAAGGGCACTTTTGTTTAACAAAGAACAACACTTGTTGAAAATCAACTTCGAACAAACAGGAATGGCGCAAAACGAAATTACCAGAAATATGGTCATCAAATCACAATAACGTCTTTTTTAAGTCAATTTCTACTGAAGGGCTTGAGCCATGAGTTGCAACGATCCGGCCCACCACGTGTGGCGTCACGTCAACAAGACAACCATATTCGATTGGTTCACATACGGATTCTTCCACAATAACAGCTTGGCAGTTCCTGATTTGAAACCAGTCAGTGGCAGTAGCTTATGGAGCGGGACAACATCCGGCTCACCGAGTTCGGTATGGAAAGGACGTGAGGTTCAGAAAATTAGACGGAGACAGTACACTGTTCATGAGTCCGGGTTTCATATTGACATGAGGCAAGAGGTGTAGGAACGTTTTACAGACAGCACCGTCGTTGTCAGGGTGATAGTGTTATGGTATGAGGTGGCTTCACAATATATCAGAGAACACAACTCATCTTATAAAATCTTTCAAAAATAAAAAAGGAGCTTTGAGAACTTGAGAATTTGTGAATCCAGGTTTCATATAGACAACTCTGGTCGTGCTGGAGTCAACAGGCAAGCAGGAGAACGTATCAGCGTCGGTCGCGTTCCTCAGCAACGTCGTTTTCACAGTGGAAGTGTAATGGTATGAGGTGGACAGTTGAAATTAGAATAATGCTAATCTTGGCCATCGAGCTTGATTTTAGAACATCTGTACAGAAAATGTATGTCAAGGACAGTGTCCAAACATGATGTCTCAATACTGACCAGTTCGTGTCACCCACACGTATAACCCCGCACAGTGATGAAATGACGAAATATACAATTAATATGCGTAGGGTGGATAGTGGAAACCTGTCTCCTTGTGGGAGAGGGTATCATTAAATTTCCTTGACCTCAGAAACAATGTCGTCCGAAGGGCAGACATACCTCAGTACGTTTCATGTTTCGCAAGGTAGATAATTATTGCGAAATGTGCACTAAATCGCTAGGGAACGTGAAAACATAATGCTATAGACAAGAGATAAGCTTAATATCGTCCTTCTTTTTTCTCGAGCAAATATGCTCATGTGTTTGCAATGAGGAACCGTTATGTGTTGGCTACACTGTCTAACCAGAGGAGACATATTCGACATATAAAACGTCTTATATATTCACCAACTTCTAAAATGCCTCTCAAGAATCTCACCTGAGGTGACATACATGTCAATTTTTACTCGCGCTCACAGATTTCAAATATGTTTCACTTTTCACACAATTCTGTGACCTAACGTGACACTGAAACGCTATCAATTAACATTGGTCGGATAGAACGTTGTTCCTGATTTCATCAGTTAAGGATGTACACAGTCGCCGAAACGTATCCAGTGCCTATAAACCTGGAGGCCAGTTGATCACCACCATTCACTCCAACGTGTGACGTCCAGCATGCTGCTGCTTCTGGTCACTCTGTCCTGCCTGGCAGCCGTCAAGGCTCAAGCTACACCTTGCTGCATGGCAAACACTTGGTCAGCCAAAGTGTTTGATGTTCGCGCACCGATTCAAGGAAATAACGTAAGTACAAAACGATCACATTTATCACAGCGACATTTGTGTGACATTAGATTGTATTTTGTGTGGTACGAGTTTATAAGAACCCCAAATGATAATTTCTATTCTTAGTGGCAGTAATAGCAGTTTGTTGTTTGATGCCACACTCAAGAGTGAGTGAGTGTGAGTTTGGTTTTACACCGCTTTTAGCAATATTCCTGCAATATCAAGGCGGGGGACACCAGAAATGGGCTTAACACATTGTACCCATGTGGGGAATCGAACCCGGGTCTTCGGCGTGACGAGCGAACGTCTTAACCACTAGGCTACCCCACCGCCCCCGCACTCAAGAATATTCCAACTTTATAAGATCGAGTTTGTACTAGACAATGCAGATAATGAGCATCGATCTACGCTAACAAGTGTCAACCAAGTCAGCGATCATCCAATCCCGTTAGTCGCCTCGTACGACAAGCATGGGTCGCTGAAGACCAATTGTAACCGGTTGGTTGGTTGGTCTGTTGTTTAACGCAATTGGGATATGATGACATGTGTCAACCAAGTCAGCGATCATCCAATCCCGTTATTCGCCTCGTACGACAAGCATTGGTCGCTGAAGACCAATTGTAACCGGTTGGTTGGTTGGTCTGTTGTTTAACGCAATTGGGATATGATGACATGTGTCAACCAAGTCAGCGATCATCCAATCCCGTTATTCGCCTCGTACGACAAGCATTGGTCGCTGAAGACCAATTGTAACCGGTTGGTTGGTTGGTCTGTTGTTCATCGCAATTGGGATATGATGACACTTGTCAACCAAGTCAGGGAGCCTGACCACCTGATCCCACCAGTCGCCACTTACGACAAGCACGGGATCCTGAAGACAAATTCCAACCCGAATCTTCACGGGTAGTAGTAGCAGTAGCAGTAGTAGTTGTAGTCGTAGTAATAGTGGTAGTAGTAGTAGTAATAATAATAGTGGTAGTAGTAGTAGTAGTAGTAGTAGTAGTAGTAGTAACGGTTGTATTTTCTATAAAAGAAACATTTTGTAAAGTATGTTCTGATAACATTTCAAAAGTCGAAGCATTAATTTTCGTTTACAGTAATTTCAAATATAGAACATAATAAATGAAATTACATCCGGAATGTATCTGCTACAACTGTACAAATGATACACTGAAAATATTCCTGCTTCCCGGTAAAATAATTCGTCTTGAGATATTTATTTTAGGTAAATGCTGACTTCTACTACGACTGGACCAACAAAGCTACTGCCATCCAGTACACTGTGTATGGATCAGTTCAGAAGTCAACCAGAATTGTCACGTCGTATGAAAAGGTAGCACCATTCACTTGCACAATGGAAATTGTCACTAATTCTATAGTTCACTGTAACTTGGGTACAGGTCTACGTGCTACATACAGGTTCTTTGTGTTAGACACGGGGAATTGAGGTACAGGTCTACGTGCTACACACAGGTAATTACGGTATGGTTCCTTGTGTTAGACACAGGAAATTGAGGTGCAGGTCTACGTGCTACATACAGGTAATTACGGTATGGTAATTACTTTCTGGTAAAACCCGATTTGGGGTCAAAAACACTAAAAATCATAAATTTCCAAATATCTTTATTAATTTTCAAACTATTGACCCCATTCAAACAAATTCACCATCAAATGAAAAGTTGTTCTCTGTACAATAGAAAAATAATAGTGATTGCAATATTTAGACATAAAAGTTTCATTGCATGATTGAAAATTTGGGTAAAAAATTTTCAGTCCTTTTTTTTTTCCAGGTATGATACAGTAGAAGAATAATAAATCTAATTGGTATAATTTCAAAATTACCTTTTAATCTCTCATCACTATCATCATTACAGGTAAGGATACATTCATATCTCTAAAATAGAACATTGTTAAAGATAATGAATTATAAGTGTAATGTGTTAGGAACCAACAATCCTTCAAAATAGATTCACTTGCTGTTCTTTTTGTAAAGCAATAGTATGTCTTGTGGTTATTGTAATAACTAACAACTTGAAAAAGGAATAAGCTCAAATATGAATTTCAATCAATTATACTGACCAGGCATTCCATACTGGACTCGTCCAATTTCAGGTTTAGTGATACATCAGATCAGGTTTAGTTACACATCAGATGAAAGTTTGCTTGTTTTCTTCAAGTTCCAAGTTCTATTTTACAATCTTCATGTTATAAATCAAATAGATTTATGATTATTACACAGGTCATTTTTCATTGTCACTGGTTATCTTCACCAAGATCATTCATGGGGTTAGTGCAATTCTGTGCACCCTGTCCTTGCTTGCAAGGACACAGTTCAATACAAGGCAGATTGCTCTGTCTACAAATGCACCACACTGAGGAGCATGGGGACTTGCAGCAGGTGCAAACAAGGCAGTCAAGAACTTCCGAAGCAGTTTGATGTTCAAACAATGTGGGGTTGAGCAATCCATTCACCCTAGTCCAGGCAAAATCCTCAAGGTTACCAAACTCTCGTTTACCACAATGAGAACTTGTCCAGATGCTAGTTTGCCGCATCACACGCTTAACGTGCTGTCGAAAGCTGTCTTCACATGAGGGAAGTTTGGCAAGTTCAATGTCTCTTAGTCGGCATAGTTGAAATCTCATGTCATTCAAAGAGTGACGTGGTTTAACCTTCTTCCTGGGGTCATACAAGGCTGACGTTAGATTGCCTGCAGACCTCCACTGCTGCATCAAGTTTTCCTGAAGATAAGACTTGATGACTTGAAAACAGATCTTTGTCTTTCATCATAGCCTTGTAGACGGTCTTCTTGCCAACATGAAAATAATGCTGATGACGTATCTCAGCCAGTAAAGGCATGAAATCCTGGCAAAGCAAATGACATTGATGATCCAAGAAGATGGCAGATGTTATGGACATGAACCGATGCTTGTCCGTGACTTCAGAAGACACGGACATGCTCCATTTGTGGACAATAGCAGATATATAGTATGAGAACATCTGTATTAGGGGACTTCATGATGATACTTCCTTGGGTATGCCTCTCTTCAAACTCACCATTGCAGTACATGGCGTTGAAGAGCATGCATGTATCAATTTCTTCTTGAGAACATTCAAGTTCATCAATGCAAGCATCACCAGTGGGAGGGATCAACTTGGTCACCATTCCATCTTCATATCTTCCTGAGAGATACAATCCTCCTTGTTGTTCTGTTGACATTGTAGCAACTTGGACTTTGGTACACAAAACGTTGTTAACTGTGACATGTTCTCAGATACACCAAGAAACTTGTTCCACTGTGGAATCTGTCTGCTTGATGACACTTGATACTTCTTGCCGGTGTTGAGGTCAGCTCTTCTGCAGACTTAGTGGAGTTGCGATTGTCATACTGGTCGAACATATCTATGACAGTATCAGCCCTTGTGAAATACTGCTTCATATTTTGCATATAACTGTCAGCAACACTATCAAACGCGGAGGGAATGGCAGGTTTCATACTTATCAATATTGCCATTGTATCACGAATGTAGACAGTGTCTTTTTGTCAAAGTCTGGTAAAGTGTCAACATTCTGTACAATTTCTTCTAATTTGTCTGTCAAATCGGCATTTGATGTCTTCCTCCTTGATCCATCTTCATTGAAAAGTAATGTAGGAACTGATCCTATTGGGTGTGCGAGAACCTTGGCCATTGTGACATCATCACGACAATCTGTCAGACATAATGGTCTTCTAAAAACCATTTCTGCGCGCAAATGCACAAGTCGAACAGTCCCATCTTCACTAAGAAACATCTGTGATAAAGCAAATCCTGACCACAAAGATCATTTGCAAACAACTGCACAAGTCTGGTCTTGGCTCAATTAGGCAGTGATTGTAATTCTCCAGGTGATAAATTTGTTCGAGCACTAATTATGATGCAGTACTACGCAGATGAATGTTTACTCTTTTGGCTTGGTCCCTTTAAGTCCGTTTCTCTTTGAAGTTAACCTGAAATAAGGAAAGTTTCATCATTAAATCTTCTTACATTTATTAACAGTAGAACCTATTTCATAAAGAGAGTGGGTGGTGGGGTAGTACATGGTTACAATGTGTGAAGTCCATTTCAGGTGTCCCCCGCTTTGATATTGCTGAAAGGTTCTTAAAAGCGATGTAAAACTAAACTCACTCATAAAGAGAATTCCTTTCTTAAACATGAAAGGTCATTATGATTTGGGTTAAGGGCAACATTTAAAGTAAATACGTCTTACAAATAAAGGTAGGATTTTATCAAAACATATGTCAATGTATGTGTAACTTCTGTGATACTATATATAGATAGATATATATCTAACAGGCTCATGAGAGAGTGATCCTTTTTTGACTTGTCCTAACTTCACTGGCTTTGGCTACATTGCTTAAGTTTTTCAGAAATATACCTGAATGAAAGAAATTCAAACATGAAATCTTCAAAGATTTAAAATATATCATTGTTTCAGGGAGGAAAACATTTTATGAAAAGAAATGCCCTTCTTAAACACAAAATTTCATTTTGACACAACAAAATAAGAGATTTTTTTTTATGTTTAAAATTCATTATAAAAGATAGTGAGGATCTCATCGCTGAATAAGTGACTGAATGCGAAACTACTGTGAAATACATACATACCTAAAAGGTACATGAAAGTCTTCAATTTTGGACTTGACCTATCTTGAAAGAATTGGGCACTTATGTATCTGTATAAGTTTAAGTTTAATCATTAAATTTATTTAAATTCGTAATGTATCAATAAAAACAAGAGAAAAACTATTTCACAAAGGTTTGGCGCAGTTTTGAAAAAACCTTTGCAATCTATGTTTTTGCAATCAAAATTCAAATAAAAATTCAAAGGTATTTTAGTGAAAATAATTTGTGACAGCATGCACATATTGAATTTTATCTATGTTTATAAATATAATTAGATCTAATAAATATTTTTGAAGAAATTGTCCTGTCAAATTATAAGGTAGTGTTTATATTTTGGTGAGAAAAAAAATACATATATAAAAAAATTATGTTTGGGGAAATTATATACGTTAAGAAAGAAATTATATCATTTCTACATTTGATAATCAACATATCTTCTTTAAAAATCACTTCAAAACATATTTATTGCTAAAATGTGTGTGTTTTTTTAGTTGAGGATCACAATCGGGTAATATTAAGTTGTAGGGAAATATTGCTAACATGTTTAGGTCACATGCTTACACTGACAAGGCATTTTATACAGGGTGGCCCTCTCAGGGTTTCAGGATATTATCTGTACATGTTTTCAAAACTTCTTTGAAAAAGAATCATCAAAAACCTAATAAAATCATAATTTTATAATATCTGAAATATAATTGGACCAATAATAGAAAGATAAAGCATAAGATTCTCTGAATAGGATTTGATGAATATTTTCATCCTTAAAATGGCCTCTCAAGGAGTTTCATCAGTTAAAATTTTAGAGTTAGTTATCTTGAAATCTGTCAATGAAACAGTTGACTTTAAACATGTAAAATGCCATGAAAATACCGTAGAATATCAGGTACAATAACAAATTACCTATTTGAAATGCATTTCAAACAAGATTAGTGCAAAACTAACCCACAGGTAATCTTCTGTCATTTCTATCATTGAAACATAAGGTTCTGTGGAAATGTACACAATTAGCAAACAACTTACCTCAACAATGATATTGAAGAAATCTGAAGACTTGTCAATGCTTCGAATGAAAATCTTTGGAAAAAGATCTAACAAGCTGTCAAGTTCCAAATGTCAACATTGCTAGGACAGGAAGTGGTCTCAGCAGACTGCAGGAAGTACTGGTAGTACTGTTTTCTTGATGACTCATTTTACGGCAGAGTTTCTCTACAGACTTTATTGGTTTGACATAAAAACGTTTTTATAAGAAAATGTCCACATAAATTTCACCACATCATTTTTCTTCTTAATGCTCAGATCACAAGCTTTCATTTTATGTATAGATTGTGTATACCTCTCTCAGATAACAAATGGTGTTTGAAGGAACATCAGGTTTGTGTCCTGCCCTATTTAGGTTATCAACCATCGAGGTACCATGCTGTCAGGTATCGCCCAACCAGGGCCCCATTTGTCAATGGTTACAACAAATCTGATTCACTGTGGTTTTGTGCACAACACAATTCCAATACCTTCAGGATTGTTTAAAATATTTGGTTTTCTTTTTGCAGAACGAACGCTACACCATATTGGCAGATGGAACATGTACAAAAGACGCCCCAAATGACGTCCTCCTGCCATTCTGCATCCCAGGTAAGTGACTCTTGTCAACAGTGCTCTTTGTGTATGTAATTTATATAAATGATTCCTGTGGTCAAATAGTGATAAAACTAGGTGTTCGCGAAGAAGTGAGCCTTTCCAGCAACATGAAGTTAGAAACGGATTCGGGTTTGGGGATTGGGAATTCGAATCCCGAATCTGAATATGTTTTTCACATTCGGGATTCGAATCCAGAATCTGAATTTGATTCCGATTCGGTATTTTTGCACATGCGACACTGGGCATTCGGTATTTGAACTCTTATATTACATCCCCATTCTAATGTACTAGGTGCTCTGAAAAAGAAATTCAGATTTGGGATTCGAATCCCGAATATGGAAAAAATATTCAGATTCGGGATTCGAATCCCCAATCCCCAATCCGTTTCTACTTCATGTTCCCAGCCTTTCCTACCTCACTCCTGCCCTATGTCAAACATATGTCTAGGTCAGAATAACAGTCTTTGTCTTTATTACGAAATGATGTAGACGATTATTATGTCCTTATGATTATATTAGGTAGTTCTGATACCAGAGGTTCCTGAAAAGGTAAACGCATTCTGTCCCACGTCTAGCATCCATGTAACACATGCAAAGGCAAGACAATCCTTCAGCTGAAAGAGCAGATCACAATAATTGGGAATTGTACAAGACTTCATCTAAATAACTGTAGTTTTTTCTCTCATTTGAAACTGACACACAACTAAAACTTCAATGGTCTCCTTCCATGTAGACAACCTACTCACAACTAAAATGTTTTTACAAGAGGCGAAATACCCAAACCTAACAAATCATGTGTATGTAGTTACAGTAACATATCAATGGTCTCCTTTTGTGTAGACAGCAGTACGGACCATGGCTCAAGCTATATTGACACTGAAGCAAACTGAATGAAACCCTGCAACTGGATGATAACCATATCTGGTTTCCATAGTCACTAGAATTATCCGACAATAACAAAGTCGATTGCATGGTATCGAAAGTATTAAGGGGATGACAATGTGTTTATGGATCACTATCAGATAGTTCTGAGACCAGGTGTTCCTGAAGAGGTCCTACATCAGGCAACCATTACACACATGCAAAGTCAGTTGTTCTGCTGAAAAACACAAACAGGACCTCATCAGACTGACCATCGTCTTTTCTCTCATTTGAAACTGACACATGTCAATGGTCTCCTTCTTTGTAGACGACAGTACAGACCTTGGCTCAAGCTATATTGGTATTGAGGGAAGCGGGTTGAAATCCGACAACTGGTTGCTAACTATCGGCTCTATCAACCTGACCGTGGGCGTCACCGACCCAGACTGTGTCTTAACCTTCTTGGGGACCTTCAACCTGGCAGCGAGTCGTGAGTAGATCCTTTACAAAGATCGACTTGGGTGCAGAAACAGGGGGCCTCTATCACCTGACTCGACGGTAAAAGGTCACTATGAGACAGTGTGAGTACAATCATCTGGTATGAAGGAGTCAAAATCGAGCCAGTTTGATGTTCAGATTTCGATTTCAGAGGAATGAAATATTGCCTTGCTGTTATTTCGGGAGGGATGTATAGCGAGTTTACCAATAGATTTGCAATAGACTGCAATATATATTAGCCACTATGGTAATGCAACCACCAAACCATGAGATTTGTGTCTGTAATAAGTTTTAGGAAAACTCGCTGTGACCAATCAAAATCGAATATCCTGTTGTTCTGCTTTAAATCATGTTCCGCTCAACATGGATTGTAATTACTTTAAAACATTCTGTTTTTCCTCAGCTCCAGATACGGAACTATACTTCAACGGATATAAATTAGGCACCACGGACCCAGATGCTTTCGGCGTCCCCCTCAACTGTTAAAATGTGACGCTGCACTTGAACTTGTAGACCCGATTGTTGTCTGTTTCACTTGACATGTCATTAAATCAATAAATATTCTTTGGAGTATGGCAAGTTCTGTTTTCCATTACCAGCACAACACCATAAGAGGCGCTACCTTTTCTAGTGATGGCATCTGTGGAACAAACGTTCACAGTGTCTTCTACATGTCTAAAGTTCACAGTGTGGTCAAACTGGTGTTTTACAACAATATCGTTGCATGTATGTGTGTGTGCTGTCTTCGCCTGTCTCACAGGACGACTTAATAGCTCAAAAGCAATGGTCGGAAGTTGCTTATGATGCCAAACATTGGAACAATCGGTCATGTCATGAGCAGGTCATAGTCAGAATCGGTGTTAACCAACAATAATGGAGTGCAGCTATTTGTGCTATGAAAACAAATAATAATAAGTTTGGCATTTCTATAGCACCTTAATCCAGAAAACTGCTCAAAGGCGCTTATATTAGCCGTATGTTCTTTTGAAGGGTTTTCAATTCAGATCTGAAACTTGTAATGTTGAAGTTTGTTTGTTCCACAATATAGATCCTGCTTTGCAGCATGATCAAACTTGAAATTAAGGGGACAACTGTGTCATATTTATATCTATGCAAAAAGATTCAGAATGACAAAAACTCTCCACAAGGCAGTTTGAAAAAGGGATGATTTCACCTTACCAAGAGTAACTTCCCTTTTATGTTGAATATGCTCTTTTCACCAAGATTTCACAGAGAGTCAGACTATTGATCATAAGCTGACGTCATGATAGTTCATAGTATCAATCACTGGATTGACTGGTAAAGACTGGAATATTTACAGATCGCATCGCACAGCTGTAATACTGCTTCCAACAAGCACATGCTTATGATATAGTCAGAATTGTACAATCGACTTTTCTTTTAGCAGAAATTCCTTACGAAAGTGGAAAAGGTTTTGTAGTTTTTATTTATTGATATTTTTTTTAGTATTTTCAGATCAAGAAAAAATGAATTGTTCACACTGAAAATCTTCCTCCCCACGTTGGATATTAACATGAACAGTCACTCGTCTTCTTTTTTTTCATTTTAGATCAAAGCTGACTTCTATTACGACTGGAACAACAGAGCTACTGCCATCCAGTACTATGTGGATGGATCAGTTCAGAAGTCAACCAGAATTATCACGTCGTATAAAAAGGTAGCACCATTCATTTGTACAATGGAAATTGTCACCGACAGAGTCTAAATTTCATAGTGCTCTCTTATATGTTCCACTTTCAGTACTTTATTCAGGTATGGTTAAACGCACTCACTTACTCAAGCACGCACGCACACACACACGCACGCACGCACGCATGCACACACACACAAAATTATTGTGGGAACACATCACAGGTGTAGTCATTTCGCTATGAAAGGATCATAATCTTGAGCGCCAAATTTTACTGTATTTGACCCCATCGAAACATACCTCGCCTTGTTGTGTAAAGTTCATTAGAGTATGGTGTATCAGGCTACTTACTAGTTCACTGAAGTATGATTCTCCTTGTTGATTTAGGTTGGGTTGAGTTATGGTTCTACGTGTTACATACAGGTAATTGAGTTATGGTTCTACGTGTTACATACAAGTAATTGAGTTATGGTTCTACGTGTTACCCACAGGTAATTAAGGTATGGTTCTCCGTGTTAAATAGAGGTAATTGAGGTATGGTTCTACGTGTTATATACAGGTTATTGAGTTATGGTTCAGCCTGTCAAATACGGGTAATTGAGGCGTGGTTCTGCGTGTTAAATTATCGTAACTGAGGTATGGTTCCACCCGGTAACTGCTGTTTGATGAATTGCTGTTAATTGCTGCTCATTTGGATATTGGTATTCAGACCAAAAGACCTTGTAACTACCCTTCATTGTGGTGTGGTTATCCCTGTTGAGTGCGGTTCAGTCTGGTTGATGGCATTGTGCAATAATGCAACTGAAGGCCATAGATGTGTAATCTAGTCAAATGCCCACAGTCTGTCAAACATTCAGGTACCCGTAGTCCATCGAGGTACCCTTCAAAGGGTTTTGAAGAAGCGTAAATTATTGTCCCCCTGAGAAGGTATGTAAGTCCCAAGTCTTTTCCATACCACGTGATTTTAATTGTAGAATGTGTGTTATTGTGATATATGGCTAATTTTGATAACAATCGCCAATGGCTGAAGGGTTTATGTAAATCCAGCGTGGGGCCATGCAGGTAGCAAAGGTAGTGTAAGTCCCAATAGTCCCTAGTATGGTGATCAGCCTTCAGTTGCTGGTGATCTATGCCCCGTGTTTCATATTGTACTGTTATCTACATTGATTTAGCCTTAAAATATATTCAAAAACACCTCAAATACAAGCAATATACAATCTTTTCAGACTGTCTTTCGTGCCTTCGGGCCATTAAAAATTTTCTGACAAACATCCACTTTTAATTGAAATTATTGAATTATATAATGATCTTGCTACTGGCCAATACGACGTGGTCTTTTGTTGGTTACCCAGCCGCACTGGCATTTCTGGGAACACAATGGCCGATCTTGCTGCTAAGTCAGCACTCAACAAATCTGTGACACCACTTCTTATTCCACACTCTGATTATAAAGCTATCTTTATATCCGTGATCTGATGCAAAAGAATTTGGACACCCAAGGTATAAATAAATAACATGAAATAAAACCCTATATGGTTACACCTACTTTGGTTGTCAGTCTGAATTTGAGGAGGTCATTATGAGACGATGTCGTATTGGCCATGCTAGATATACTCATGAATACCTGTTCAAATAAGAAGAGGATCCTCCGTTTTGTATCCCTTGTGATGAAAGAATCACGGTCCAGCATGCCCTGCTTGACTGTATGGATTGTTCCATCACAAGGGATAAATATTTCAATGTCAAAACAGTGAAGGATCTTTTCAATGTTAATTATGATTCAATTATCGAATTTTTTAAAGAAATAAATTTTGATGAATAGTTGTAAATAGATAAATATTTTAATATTGGTAGTTCAATTGAGCAGCTGAGATTGTGAGTGGTTGTATCCTCATTGTGAGTGGTTGTATCCTCATTGTGAGTGGCTGTATCCTCATTGTGGGTGGCTGTATCCTCATTGTGAGTGGTTGTATCCTCATTGTGAGTTGTATCCACATTGTGAGTGGTTGTATCCTCATTGTGAGTGGTTGTATCCTCATTGTGAGTGGTTTTATCCTCATCGTGAGTGGTTGTATCCTCATTGGGAGTGGCTGTATCCTCATTGTGAGTGGTTGTATCCTCATTGTGAGTGGTTTTATCCTCATTGTGAGTGGCTGTATCCTCATTGTGAGTGGTTGTATCCTCATTGTGAGTGGTTGTATCTCATTGTGAGTGGCTGTATCCTCATTGTGAGTGGCTGTATCCTCATTGTGAGTGGTTGTATCCTCATTGTGAGTGGTTGTATCCTCATTGTGAGTGGCTGTATCCTCATTGTGAGTGGCTGTATCCTCATTGTGAGTGGTTGTATCCTTATTGTGAGTAGTTGTATCCTCATTGTGAGTGGCTGTATCCTCATTGTGAGGGGCTGTATCCACATTATGAGTGGTTGTATCCTCATTGTGTCTGGTTTTATCCTCATTGTGAGTGGCTGTATCCTCATTGTGAGTGGTTTTATCCTCATTGTGAGTGGTTTTATCCTCATTGTTAGTTGCTGTATCCTCATTGTGAGTGGTTGTATCCTCATTGTGAGTGGTTGTATCCTCATTGTGAGTGGTTGTATCCTCATTGTGAGTTGCTGTATCCTCATTGTGAGTGGTTGTATCCTCATTGTGAGTGGCTGTATCCTCATTGTGAGTGGCTGTATCCTCACAGGGGGTTGAAGTATTGTAAAATCATTGTCCTCCTGTGGGGGTACGTAAGTCCCAAAACATTCAAAGTACATTTAAACAGACCGTTATTTTTAACCGTAGAATATCTGTAGACAGCTGAAGGGATGAAGTAACTCCAGCTAGGGTCCATGCAGGAAGCAAATGTACTGTAAGTCCCCATGGTCCCAAGTACGGTGACCTACCTTCAGTTGCTGGCAATCCATAACCCGTGTTTTATATTGTATTGTCTTCTTTACTGAAAATGTTTAGTTTTACATTACAGTTTTAGTTTTACATTATAGTTTTAGTTTTACATTATAGTTTTATATATGTGATACTCTATTATTTTACTGTCCATCGTCGACAGGTTTTACTCTTCAAAATGTTTTCATCTTTATCTTATGAATTGCTTTCGTCACGATATGGCTGAGATATTGCGGATGTTACGTTAACTATTAACTCACTCACTCACTATATTGATTTATTTTTATGATAGGGTGCTAATTTTAAATTAAGAGCTGTGACACTCTAGTACATTTACTGTCCCTCGATGACAGGTTTTTACGTTCTGAATTTATAGATTATAATATTGATATAAATTAAATTTTTATCGTTACGATATAGCTGAAATATTGCCGTTGTGACGCTAAATATTAACTTCACCATCGAGGTACCATAAAGTCAGCTATCACCAAACCAGGTGCCTACATTTCACTGGTTATACAAAATCAGATTTTGGGTTTGGGCCCAACATGATTCAAATACCTGCAAAACTGTTTGATATACATGATTTTGAATTTGCAGAATGAAATCTACACAATCGCTGCAGATGGAACATGCACCAAAAGCGTCCCAACTGACGTCCTCCTGCCAGGCTGCATCCCAAATACGTGTCTACGTCACAATTGCTCTTTGTTTATGAAATTTCTACAGATGATTGTCATATCCTCTATTATCGTAATGTCGCTGTGTTATGGGGAGTTGTTCGTATGTGAATAATCTCGAGCTGGATACCACACACAAGTCTTACGTAATTTCTTTTGCATTTTAAACTTTGAGGTTTTACAGTAAAATTAGATTTTAATCGTCTAAAGTCCTCCGAAAATCTAGTGTGATAAACCTTCAGATATCGTCCATCTTGATGCCCTATTGTTTCAAACTGTTTCACGTTTTC